TTCTCCCCCCAGGTTGTCACAGAAGATTGAGCCAGGCACCAGCACACCACGAGCCAACGCCTCTAAGGAGGATCTTGTTGGTCAGTTTGAGTGCAGATTATCAGTGTGTATTTCTGATTTTTATGGTTCCCTACAGGTCATTCATATTTCGTTTACAGGCCAGGAAGCATCATCTTCTCCTCTTTGTGGACGTAAGGGGTCAGTGACTGCTGACGTCCCAGCCACGCCTCCATCCCCCAGGAACATGCTGCCTTATGGGCACAGGAAGTGCCACAGCCTGGGCTACAAGTCAGTAGTTTTGGTTTTGTGAAGAAGAAACCATAATCTTCTAGGTGCTGATGGAGATAAAATGTTAATCTCCCCTCTTCCTCTCTTTGTTTGATGTCTCCTCAGCTTCATCCATAAGATGAACACGGTTGAGTTTAAAAGTGCCACTTTTCCCAACGCTGGTTCTCGTCACCTGCTGGATGACAGTGTATTAGAGAGCCACAGCCCCACCAGGGGACAGGCAGAGAGCTCTACTCTGTCCAGTGGCATTTCACTCGGTAAGTCCGAAGCTTGTATTCTTATAAATAAAGCAAAATGAGTTGATTCTGACTTTTCCCCTAATGATTGGTGTTGGTGTGCAGGGAGCAGTGAGGGCTCTGAGCTCAGTGAAGAGATGTCTTGGCCAGCTTTTGAGAGGTAATGCATCCATATCAGCCATTCAGCAAGCAGATCATGAAACATGTTCATTTCTGTGGTCATTTTGATTTTTTTTTTTTTTTGGGTAAAGCTTACGCCAAATGATCCGCCATTAAAACTCCAACACACCATGCTCAGCATTGCTTCTTGCCTAGTGACCAAGGCCAACATTTCTCTCTCTCTCTCTCGCTCTCGCTCTCTCTCCCTCTCCCTCTCTCTCTCTCTCTCTCTCTCTCTCTCTCTCTCTCTCTCTCATCATTGATCTAAAGATGCTTTTGCTTCTCTGGCATTCTGGAAGTTATTATATTTGTATGTTTTAACTCTCTGCGTGAGGTGTATTGAGCTGGATGTGAAAGCCGCTGAGTTAACTAGTCTGAAGAGCATCCTAATCTCTTTTCCAAAGCATAGTTTCTTTACATTTTTGAAGCACCTCACCCCCATTAATAATCCTTATAACCAAATGACTGCTCCTCATCTAGCCCTAACCTGCGTAATTTTAATAGAAAACAGAAAAATCAACCAGCCACAAAGCTTAACAGTGTCCCGTGCCCCGTATCCTGTCCTATCATCCTATTCTGAACAGGACTCGGTTCTATCACTCTCTGGGCCCAGTGAGCCGTGTGGCCCGCATCCAGTACAGAGGAGTCCTGAGGCCCAGCAGGTACACCCACCCGCCCCCTCGACCAGAACCAGCTTGATCTGAAGCCAACTCTTTCTTGCCTTCACTTTTTCACACCCTCAGTAGCTGCCAGGGGGCGCTGCTCACTGTGTGTTTGAGTCCTCCTGTGGTGAAGTGGGCTGAAGGAGATGGGGTGTTTTGGGGGTTTATGGTTCTTATCTTGATGTTTCTCATCATTCTATGATCTGTCTGGGGCTTTTTTGCATGTCTGTTGCTCTCACATGAAGCTGGAGGTGTGAGGTTTTCTTAGCTTTGCCCCAACCTCAGGCTGCAGCCTGGAGCAAGTTTCCAATAATACTTTTACAATTAGACCATTCTAGTAAATACTCCATAACCTGGTTATTGTATAAGACTTGATCAAATTGACTCAGACAGCATTCACACACTCCTCACCGTGATGATGTAATCAGATAGTCACATCTCTTCTTCATCAAGCTTTTGTCTGGATATAAATGGGAATGACAAATGGAGAAGCAGGCTTATAATAATTAGCAAAGTCTTTGCAGGTAATGATTTTTATTAAACTCGGCTAGTTTTCATTTTTCTCTGTTAAAATTATTCAAATTTTAAGAGTTTTTATAACCTGGATAAACATATTCTCTGTCTGGGTTTCTTAAAAAAACAAACGTTGACGTTTCTACATTCAACCAGACAAAGAAGTGTTAAAGCGGATCTCGTGTAGGTTGTGTTTGAAGCTTTTCTTGTGATCCTGGATGGTTTCTCTCATTCTCTCACTGGACTTCTCGGCTGAGCTTCTTGCTCCGGTTCTCCCGACAGACACAATCTGCACAACACCTTATCTGCTCGTCTTTCTGCACACAGTAGAGTCCAGATTTATATCAGCGAAATTCAAATTGGGCACAAAAAAAAAGTTTCAGATGAATGACAGTGGAGGTAAAGGTGCCTTTGCAGATTGTGGGCATCGGTAGCTTTCTCCTCTGAGGTGATCTGGTATGATGGTGTTCATATGAACACGTGATCCCATTTGGCTGTGTGAGACGTTTGTGCTTGTCCTGTTGCAGCTCTGCTGAGTCGGAGGAGCTGGCGGTTCATCTGTATCCCGGAGCAGTCACGGTGCAGGGGGTGTTGAGACGGAAGACCGTGCTCAAGGAGGGCAAGAAGCCAACTGTGAGAACA